ACAATTCGATCCAATATTCTTTCATTTCTGTACCGATTCAAAAAGGTAACACAAGTTTCAATCTACGCGTTTCTTTCTGCAGATCAGTCAAATCATGAGGCACCCATTTTTTTTATTTTTTATTTTATTGATTTGACGCAAATGAGTCGATATTGTGGGTAAGGTAACGTTAAACCATGCTGTTAATTTCTAGGTAGTTTGACTAGGATCGACTTCCACCATCTCTCTTAATTCATCGTTATTCACCTGTGTGGGCGCTATTCCCCGTGGCTCTTTCTTCAAGTCAAAGTTTCCATCACGAAAGTGTTTAAACCTAAATCGTACGGTGCGTTCATTAGCAGACCCCTCTCCGAACGCAACATTGATATTGCGGGCTGTTTCTGCCGCGTTACTTCCGAGTCCGCGTTACTTCAAAAAACACTCGAATTTTCGCAGTATCCATCTTTCTTGTTTAAGTTGAATAACAAAAACAATTGAAAGTCGATATTCAAACATATTTTAAAAGAAGAATATCATAGAAATAATGTTAAAAAAGTTTCTTTCGAAAACCCCAAACCATGAGGATTCTATGTCAATTCAAGGAACATAATGCAATAAAACGGCAATTACATACTTTAACTCCTAATATTTTATGTATCTAATTTAATGCCTTATGTATTTTAGCAAATTTTTATACTTTTTTCAAGTTTTCAAAGTATGATATTTTAAAAATTAGTTACTTAAAATTTGTTTTATTATTTTCACTTACAGAACACAAGCCTATTGGCTTACTGAACTCTGAAAACCCTGATTCATTGAGTAATTAAAAAAAACAGTTTCTGTTAGTTCTGAGTTCTAAATTCTGAGGTACTATTCAAAGCTAGTTGAAAGTTTCTAGCCTCTTGTATTCGTTTTGTAATACTTTAGTATTTTAAGTTTCATATACGTGGAATTAAAATACTCGTAGAACCAACTTCCGCACCAGGTGTAAATCAATTTCGAGCTATAAAAATATCAGATAGTCATATCAATATAGTGGTGTGTTCGACGGCGGGAAATATGAAAATTGGATGCCGTCGAGCGGCGGCCCAAACCGGTCGACATGTATGCATGTAGTAGACATTTGCTACGAGCTCAATATCTGAGTATATCATCGCGGACCCTGATTGAAACAACAAAAGGACGCGAACACTTTTTGTTTTATGTAAAAAAGTAACTTCTGTGCGTTGCTGCGGTCCGTTTTGGGAAATTGAATTCATCAATGTTTCTTTTGTTTTGGCAAATGAATTGGATGTCAGCACGCTCACTGTTTACTTTAAGAGTTTACGCAATATCGATTCATTTATATAGTAAAACTCATATATTTTCCTTTAATTTATTTTTATGACGACTAACCAGAACGTACCTTGATATTTTACGATTTAAATTGAATCAGTTTTATTTTAATTAAGTAAATGTCTCTTCTTTACACATGATCTTGGATATAATACGATTATATTTTTTTTCATTGAACTTGACTGCCAGAGGACAGTTCAGTGTGATCCTCAAATACGTTAAATAAATAGAATATTGTAAATTCGCGTCCTCTCGTAATGTTTCATGAAGACTGTTTGGAGTCCGGTTGGGATGGGTCAAGAGGGTTTTGGATTCACGTATAATTCGAGGTACAACGTGCTCTTAAACCCTTTCAACACAAATTCAATTAATTGTGAAATCTAATTATTCCAAAGCAATTATTTGTTCAAGAGCTTAAACTTTAGATTTACATTTTATAATACAAAATTATACTGATCAAGCCGGAAATGACAAATTTATTAGATAAAGTGAGAAAATGAAAAAGATAATGCTTATTTTGCGAAATTTAGATTTCATTGCGAGATTTTAGTAGTTCCTAAGTTTAACCATATTTTAATACTTATACAAAAAAGGGTCAAAATGAAAATTAGCAACGACTTCGTGAAAATAAATACACATGAATATAATATATTAGTTAATAAATAAATCATAAAGATTAACTAATCTCTTAATAGTTTTTGGAACAAGTTTATGATTTTAATGTAAAAATTTGTTATGTTATAAATTAGTGTGAAGATTTTTTTTCTATTAAGGGTTTTTGTTTTTATCCTGTGACCCATGAATCGATTCAACTACAACTACAACATGATCTTGAAATTGTTGTCTATAAAACTCATGACACCGATATTAGTATATTCGCTACAGAAATATCCCCAGCGAAAGGACAAGAATCAAATTGAATGGCTCGAATGGAAATTGTTTTGATAAGGCTCTGCTACGAAGGGAGCTTTCGTAACTATTACAAAAAGTTGTTTGATTCTTTGGCTTTAACAAGTATGGTTTAGTTCTTACCATTTGCATTTTGAACATATTTTGAGTGTAGCTTAATTATAAATACAAGAAAATATGACTGAGTAAGCAGGGTATTGGGGATTCGCATAGATTACTCAAAAACGAAATGGCAGTATATCGTAGCAATTCCCTTATTTACGAATTCCGTCGCAAGTTGTGACGCAATTCATCAATATAGCTAACGATGGGCGAATCTAAGACTAAAACGAAGCGGCACAACTAAGAGCGCTATGTCCCAGCATATAAGCATTAACGGAATACAAAGAAAAAACGCTTTAATATACAGTCACATCTGTCTTACTTTCCCTGTCATCAGCGACACAAGTTCATACTTTTTTATATTTTTAATACTTTTTTGTCGTTCTGCCAAAACTGTCTTAGTACACTTTCTTATGCCTAAATGTTCATGTTAGATTTTTATACCTATCCTGATTCCTAAATGCGCCCGCATCTATTGATATGCCACTTTTCTTAACGGCTTCTATCATTAACCGCTCAGTACTTACATTATATTCAGTAATCGTCGTATAAGCAAGTACTCGTTGCGAATTCTCAGCGAGTTTTCTTCAATCACGTTTAATCTCCTTGTTTTTTTTCGATTCGACTCCATTCACAGGGAAGGTCTGCGCTCCAGCATCAGTGGGAACATTATTAAGCTGGTTATGATGTAACTAGATTATGCTTCATCATAAAATACGCTTCATCATAAAATGCCAATTGAAGCTAATAAATCTTTAAGCAAAAAGCTTTAAATATTCTTAATGAAAAATGTTTAAAAAATCCTCTGGCTCTCTGAGACGGAATACGAGTTGTTAGAACGAAGCCTTCAAACAACTGAGCTACCCAGGACCTGGATTCACGAACTTTTCAAAAAATTGTCACTTTTTCGCTACTACAGAACGTATTTTTAATCAATGTTCAGGAAATCCACCCAAACAGCCGAAAGAAATATTTTTACAAATATTTAAACTTTTGACAAGGACGACAATTTGTTGTAATTATTATATTTGATTAATTTCGCATTCACAATGCTATACTAAAAAATAAAATTAATTAAAAATTCTTAAAATATCCACTTTGTTCCTGGCACTCTGAGATGGGATCCAGGGATAAAGTGGATTTTTTGATGAACAAAAAGCTCTAGTCAATTCAATTTAGATTATTTAGTTTGGATGCCAGACAGATAAATTTTGAATGCCATTAATTTGTGAAAACAAACTACAAGAGATTCAAGAGGACTGAAGTATTTTCAAGAATTTGTTATATATATATTTTTAAATATGGTGTTCTGTGATAATTCCAGTATAAAGCACAAGTTGAGGAAATGAATGCCTCGGTATGACAAAATGTAGCCGCTCCAATATTATAGAACCTAATAACAAAGACATCTCTTACGTCGATATAATACCTTATGTTTTTAAATTTGTATTGTGATGTTTCTTAAATCATGAAAAGCGCTAAGATTTTAATTTAAACATATCAAGGGAGTTGAGCTTAAATCTCGAGTCGAACCTCGACGTTTTTGTTCATCGACCTAAGTAAGTACTTTTGTTATTCGGAAAAGCTAAAGAATAATATAGAATGCCACACTCGTCCACTGTTGAGAGAATCAAATAAAGCAGACGTAAATTGTCAGACAGCTCACCTCCAGAATAAGGAATACGCATCTTTCACTTGGCGGCGGGCGAAATCAAATAATAAAATGTCTCGATAGTTTTCACGTTCGATATCACAATACATAGTTGTTTTCTATTTTTATTTTGGTTCCTTTGTTTATGAAGTTATTTAACTCTCACTAAGTTTAGTAATCTAAGTCACATTAGTAACAACTTAATTTAATAATAACAAACATGTTAAAGTACGGGTTAAGCAAATTATCAGTTGCACCATTTGACAATGGTTTCATGTCGTCATAACTTTAACTGTAACTAGAATCGCCCAAGCTCCGCTGGTTAAAATTATTGTTTTACAATGCCAAGAAAGAGGATGATGCAACGCATACCGCAGACAATCTAAAAGCCAACGTGACAGTTACTTTCAAATTTGTTATGGACCTTAACCTTGATTGCTATTATGGTGCAATCTAGCCTTTTTATTACCGGAATTGCTATATTTAATTTCATCAATTAAAACAACTTCGACTATCTGTCCTGTTAATTACATTTTAATATATATTTACAACTATGTATTTTCGATTGATATATGATGTATGTACTTTTTAAATAAGAGGTAAATTATTATTTAGCAGGGTACAAACCTTTCGTTTATTGAATAATATAAAAAGCTTACGAAATCGAAGCTTTTCGTCAACTTTTAGTGATTCAAATAAAATGATCTCTCTGTTACGGTTATTGCAGCAGTATATTCAGCTTATTGCCTGAATACACATTCAAATTCCTAATTTATGATTCCGTCAATAGGTACTTTCAAAAGGTGAAGTTGGAATTATCACGGTACAACGGTACTTGAAGGCTTGAAGTTATAATAGAAATTTTATTCCAATGTATACTGAGCATGAGAGCGCTGCGATAGCGTCCCTCGCGCTTGGCTTCACTCTATGATGGTACGTACACAAACAGGCTTGCGCCGCCGCTGCAGTCTGCACTGCGCCTCCCCCCTTATCCAGCCGCTTCAATTTTGGAACGAGTCTCACGTTATGAAATGGGAATTAAATTGTCTGTGAAGAATACAACAGGATTACCGTCTATCTCCGCCTATATACAATGTGAGATGATTGATATGAATTATTTACATTGCCTCGTAATATAGTAGTAGCAGTTCTTCTCTAGAAGCTTACTCGTCATTGGACGCTGTGAAGTACTAATTTATCGTAACTGTCCTAAGTAACTGGCAGTTCATAATCCCTGTATTCAGTACACTGCGGAGCTCGTCTCTCCTGCACCGGCTTGTATATCGTGAACGTCCGTTGGATTACGGATACAAAATGCATTCGGGTGTGTTTAACTAAAATATGTTTAACCGAAGACGTATTAAATTTGTTGATTTATTTAATTCAAACACGTAAGTACTTAAGTTATTTGTCGAAAAAATCAAAGTGATGTAATTCGTGATGAAAGTATGAAGACTTAGTATTTTTCGGTTTGAAAACAGGCAAATGATATGGTAGAAATGAACGCTGAACATGATACTTATTCAGATTATGATTATTATTTACATAATTTACGCTTTTATGGCCCAACGAAAAGGGGTTCGAACTATATTTCATCAACTGGTTGGTAGTAAGAGGTTTTGCATTAGTGACATTTCTTTGGACAATTCTTGATACTTGATAATGCAAAGGCGTCTTGTGAGGCTGTATTTTATTAAACAAGATTTTTAGTGCCTCTAATGTGTTACTATTAATAATAGATCTCGTTGCATTTAGGTATGTCATGTTTCTATTTTTATTATGTGGGTTGGGCTGTGTTTTAAGCATCGGACGCGTCAAAATGTTATCGTTATTACGGGCTGGAATTAAAGGATTTTCTCCATTTAATAAGTACATTTCATCACTTACATTGGCAAGAGTGACTGGATAATTAATCCTTCTATTTAACTGTGGTAATAAATTAACCGTATACTGATTATTAATATTGGTATTGGTAGTCCTTTTAGTGGGCTGGTATTGTACTCTTTTCGGTTTCATAATTGCTTGTTGTGCTATGTTTGCCATATTTTCCAACTCCTGGAGGCTAAAAGGTCTTCTTGTAGCGGTAGCAACGTTTACTTGGTTTTCAATACTGATTAAGTTTTCATTACTTTGGATTTCTTGATTATTTTTATTAATGAATGGTAAAAGGGATTTTAAAGGTGATCGAACAAACCTTTCCCAATAAGATCGCCCTTGGGTAAATCTGTTTTCACTTAACAAATTTGCAGTTTGGATATTATCAGGAGAATTTTGACGCTGTAGCTCAATATTTACTTGTTGTTCACCATTTGAATTAAAATTACTTATCAAAGAAGCTATTTGTTTTCCTAGATTTGTAAAATATGAATCGTTCATCTCATCAGCTTTAGAGATAGGTCTCGGTTTATGTGGAATCTGTAAGTAATATGGTAAGTAGTTTTCGGTTATACCGTTTTCACTATTTGTATAAACAGGTGCACTGTTTTGATAATTACTTTTTCTCGTTAAAACAGATAACGGTATTTGATTAGTTAGACTTCTGGGTCCTGTTTTGTTGAGATCGATTTTGTGAATTAATTCAGTAAGATATTTAAAATCAACGTCTTCTGGTTTGGCCATATAGTTTACACTTGGTTGGTAAAATTCTCTTTCTGACGATTTCTCAGCAGGCATATTAAAAAAGGGGCTATCAAAATTGTCCAAATCTTCAACAAGATTTCTTAAATGCGGTCTTTTGTTCTTCTTAATTTTTTGTACATGTAACAAATAGGATTATATATTGAATCGTAGAAGAAAATTTCAGTAAAATTAAGATGCAGAACTATAATATATAAAACATAATTACATAAAAATAATTAATATAAAAAACGTAAATAAATTATTATTCTTACCATTTTATTGCGCTGCATCATTTTGTTTCTTCTGAAATGGTCAGAATAAACATATAAATAATTATAAAAGAAATAATCAATGAATGGGATTTAATTTTTTTATAATAATTTACCTACTTGTCTTTTAATAAAGTTAGTAAAAATCGGGACCGAATCTGGTTAATTTTTAAGCACCTTTCTTTAAGATAATATAATATCAATATAGTATTGGGAATGAAAAGTTGATCAAATATAATAAAGTTAGTGATATTCCACTTACAATGCATGTGAATTTCGTTGGTTTTGCTTATATCTCCCTAATCGACCTCTACTACGTAAAGCAGGGTTTTCCGATTCAGGAGGAGCCTCGGTGATATCTGATGTCTCTTCATTTATGAGTGTCGTTGTTTCAGATATGTCAGATGTTTTAGTTGTTTCAGTTGATGGAGCGATCGTTGTAATTATTACGTTTGTAGAGGACGGTGTTTCTGTTGGTGCTGATGATGAAGGTATTGACTGAGACGTTGACGATGATGAAGGTGTGGACGACAATACAGTCGTAGATTCTAATGAAAAAAAAACTTGCTTATTTTCTTTTCTTACTTATATATATTATTTATAATTTTAAGGGTTATTAGTTAATTATTTCATTTAATATATGAATAAATCAATTTAAATATATATTTACGGACCTGTATAATATCCAAAACCCATTGGTGGAACTGGTACCATTGGATACATGGGCATAATTGGTGGTGCAGGTAATCCTATGGGAGGATAAAAAGGAGTCTCGACATTCGGTAGGAAAATAAATGATGGTAGTGATGGTGTGGATTTTTTGTTAATCATTACGATTTTACGGTGATCATGGTCATCAGAAGAATCACTTTTGCTCTCACTTGAACTACTATCACTTTCTGAACTAGACCTCGAACTCGAATCGAATAAACTGTCATCTTCTGTAATTCGCAATAATTTACTTCTCAGACCTTTTTTAATACTTGTATGCTTTTTCTTCATTTTTGTTTTTTTACTCTTTTTGCGAGATCTCCTTTTGGGTTTTACTGGATCACTATTTCCACTTCTTCTTGTGTTCAGTACGTTATTATCTGTGTTATTAATAACTTGATTCTCAATAGTTTTGAAAAATTGATTATAGAGCCAATCACCGAGATCATCTGTGTCTTTGGCTATTGCTTCCACTTTCTCGTCGACAGCACTTAGCGTAGTGAACGTTGGAATGGTGACAGATTTATAATTTATAATAGGCACACGTGTCGGTTCTAAATCAAAATGTCGTCTTAGCTGAGTTAACTTTAAGCTGAAAGTTATTAATATTGAATTATTATTTTTTTAATTAATTGTAATTTTCAATAAATCTAACTTTTATTACTCACTTGTGTTCACAAATTTTGGTATCGGTGTCAAAATAATAGCCTGGATGACAATGGCATCCGACTACGCAACCTGGCTGTCTATTTACGCAATATTCAAATTTGCCATGAGCCCCACATTCTGTTAAAAATATACTTGAGTCAATAATTATTTTATAATTTTGCATCATATTTTTATTTTGTTACCTATTATGTAACTACACAAAACGTTTTATCTTCTTAAATTTGTAGCAGATAGGTACAAGAGAAAAAAAATTGCTAATGAAAATATTATATTGCTTACCATAGTGGCTTTCACTGGAAACACAGAGTTGTTGAAACACAACAGCCAGTACAACACTCCACCAATACATTATCGTGAACCAATACGAGTAAAACGTAGAAATAACACATCACAAGTTGTAAATGGCTGCTGTGGATTAGCTAGCTCTCGTATGTGACGTAAACCATTATTTGCGTGTTGAATTCTAAAAGGATTTGTTCTGCCTAATGCCACGTTTTTACTGAAATCACAGTGTGCCCAAAATTTGTTCATAAGTCAAATTATTAGCAAAACGAGTGAACAATAGTTTGAACTCGTTGATTTATTGGTTTAGTGAAACAATCGTACAATGGATGCATTGAAATTAATTGAGCGGTTGTACAATATGAGTTTGCGTCGCAAGCCAGATGTTCGAGTTGATAGATTAGCAATTTATTGAAAAAAATAATGAAGTATCTAATGTTTTAAAATTTAATCATATTTTTAAGGAGTTATTCCTTAACAAAATACATAAAAAAAAAATTAAAGATCTAGTGAATATTCAAATGTTTAATAACAAAAAATGTTATCCGGGCTTGCTCAGATGATGGTCATTTGAAAAGGATTAATAAGCTTGACAAGTTTTTTTTTATCGTAAAAGAAAGAAAAAACTAACAGAAAAATAATATAAAATCAGTTTGCTATCGTTCGTTACATTTTACGGAAATTAGACTACAAATGAATAAAAACATTTAATTACATACGCTGGTTCTAGGTTTTTCTTAGAAGATAAGATGCAGGCTTATTCACGTACACGTAGTTTTAAATCAGCGCATATATATTTTTGTATTATATACTTTAAATTGGTTTTTACGAATTGATAATCAGAATGAGCATCAGCAAAAAATAATTTTAAAGTATTTATTTCTTATATTTTCACGAGTACTATCTATGAATAAAACAATTTTTAAACGGTTTCAATTAAAGTGATACTTACTTAAAAACTATATTTTTAATCTGTAAATAACCTGTTTCATTCATCATCTTAAAGATCAGAGACAAAAAGTTTGGTTGTGGAACATAGGACAAAATAAAAGTTGTGGTACGACGCACCGTTATAATTTTGATTCAATAGGAATGATTATCATGATTAATCAGGAAAGAACGTCATATCAAGAAATGAATAAATAAAAGAGTTGTTACAATTTTTGTCAAAGTCTTTTATGGTAATCTAGTAGGCTAGAAGACTACTTGTCATCTGAAAGTCGTAATAGTTGACTGAATTTGCCGACAACTGCCAAAATTGGAATGACACGTGATGGATGTTTTTATTTTACTTTGGATTATAATCCATGATTTTGGTGTCATGATAACACCAAAGTTAATGAGTTACATATTTAAAATTTTCATAAAGAAAATAGCTTTCTAACTGTAGAATTTGTAGATGAAAAGAAAAATTGATAGAATCAATTAAATACTTATATTTCTAATCGACATGAATATACTTACTTATTATTTTAAGTACTTACCTTATTAATTAATAGATTTATTTATATGACTTCTCTTTAAGAACTTTTGTGTTAAGAACGCATCGAAAATGATAGAAAACAAAAATTATATACGAGCATTTTGCTGCTTTATGAAATGAAATGCCGTCGCGTTTAAGTGTCATGTTTAACTTGAATTAAGTTTTTGGGGTAACATCTAAATAGTATTTTTCCATATCAAAGTTTCTTCATTCCATACTTTTTAAACATATATTTTATACATTTTTCCATAGATTTTTTTTATAACTATACTTTCCGTATGTATTGCTTATAATATAATGTTGATTTTTATAAATAAAACACACTAAAATCTACTACACTTTATTGTACTTGATCTTTAAAAATATTTTGTTAATAATACCGCAGGCGTTAATACTTAGAAGCTATGTTTCATCGCCAAGGTCAGGAATTCCTTTGAGGCCTCTGTAAATAATACAACATTAGTTTTCTATTGTGCTTTGCATCAGCGTTAAATATGGCGAGTGGTAATTTTGTATGCATGTTTCTTTATTTATAGAAATATTTTACATTAGCATGTCTTCTTTTGATGTAATTAAAAAGGATTTTACCATATTATAATAATATTTTGGACTTATTTATTTTTTAATAATATTTAGAATTATATTTTATTTAACCACTAGCTTTTCATCAGCGTGGCCCTGTATTATACATATAATCCTTCCTTTTGAATGCTCTGTATAATGATGAAAACAGCATTAAAATTCATTGTGTAGTTAAAGATCTTAGAATACAGACAGCCTGAAGTGTCTTTCTTTTATACTATGTATAGATGTCCTCTTTGACAACTCTCTTACTCGTTATACCTAGTCTTGTTTATTCCCAAATTTTTTCAAAACTATGATTTATTTTGTCAGTTATTCTATAATATATATCTGTTATGTTATTGAAAAGATAAACAGTGGTAATATATTCCCGAAAAACTTAACAGTGATATGAGTATGGGAGATATAACAGGAAAATATAATTAGTGGAAATGTGCATGAAATGAACTCACTTTGTACAATCTTCGGGCATGACACACTTGTGCGTTCGGTCGTCCCTCACGTAGGGTGCGATGCAGATGCATCCAGGCTCGCAGAAAGGGTAGCAGGGATGTAGCCGCTCCCGGGGGTTGTCACACGTGACTGAAGCACAACCCGAGAAACAGGATTCATACCTGTCATGATTATTGATAATTGTACTACACTATCTTAGCTTTCCCATTGCCCGCGTTAATTATTGCCTTAGCCTTTGTTACACGTCTGTAATGCAGCTTCTCGTTGATGAAAGATTTTTTTTTCTAATCAGTCATGTAGTTTCGTAAACAAATAATAAAATCTTTTCTCTTCTATACATTATAATATGGATTATACATCGTATATAAATAATATTATAATGAGGTAATATTTGATATTTCGTTTGTATTTGATGAAATCAAATAAAAAATACTAGGTTAATTGTAAAAGTCTTCACTGACATAAACAATATTATTAGTAAGTAACATACATCCGGTTTCTGAATTGAGTGTTTAAAGTTGAATATGTCTCAAACTATACTTAAGCATGTTTTCGTTTCCGATTTTAGTCTTTTTAATGATCAGTTAATAGCAGTTTGATAAACTAGGACATTTTGACGTATAAAATGTTAAAAAAATAAGTTATTGAGAATAAACAGTTGAGATATTGTACTATGCTCATTTCAGAAACCAGCAGATAGGCTTTTACTATTTTCAGCATTAGCTGATGATAGTAATATATTAATATAGGTAGTAGAAATTCAACTTTAATTTATTTTCAAGTTTCCCCGGGAATGAATAAATGAAATGTTGTTCATTGTTATGCGTATCACTTGACATCTATTGGAACTAAGTGGAGCTCTAATTTAAGTTTAATTACTTGAGATTGCTATGAGAAATAATAGCTGTTAACTTTTTTCAAATAAAATGAAAATAATACCTTTCGTGCGGTCGGTCGCAATTATATGTAATAGAAGATTTCTTATCATCACTGAAAGAAAAGAACTATATTTACTAGAGTGCATACGAATGTCTAATATTCATGAAATTACAATATATATTTACGTGTATCCATGTGATCCCGATTCTGAACTCTTCAATCCTGAAAGTTTTTCGAGATCCTCGTACCGTTTTCTGTAACTCGGGATCTCTCCATCCCTATGCCTATCTATAACACCGAAAGATTTCGGCTCAGACTCTTCGAAATACCTTGTAGAATCGTAGTCATGCCGTTTCCTTGCTTCATATTCTTTGTGATCCAGTTCACTTGGACTTAACAACGCCTTTTTTCTCCAATTCCGCCTATCGTCTATGAGTGAATGTCTTTTATTTCCGTCCAAATCATCATATTCGTAATTGTTCGTTCTCGTCGCCCATGCAACAATGTTATCTGCAATATGATTTATCCGTCCTCATCAGTATGTTAATTAAAATCACATCTAATATTTATATATGCGAATCACTTACAGAGTAGTAGAGCAAGCAATAGAAATTTACGCATATTGTTTCCGTTCTGTTTTTAAAATGGCCGCACTTACCATTCCATTTCACTTTGTGATCAGTATCAGTGGTGTGGAGTCGTTAATGGAATTGTTTTAAAAAGTTTGCGCGTTGTTTTTTAAGAGGAATTCAGATGTTTGTTTCTTGAACGATTGGATATTTTCTTTTACGCTTTAGAACTGAACTTGACCTTTTTCACAATACAGTTTTAAAATTCTACAGTTTTAACCCTTCTATTGAGTTTTAGTCTTAAAAACTTTATGAATCTGTTATTGAATAAAAAAATGAATCAATAATTAGGATATAAATAATAGGAATATTACCTATAGGTATTACATGTACATATTTGTTACTGTTATATTTTTTATTTAAATTAATAAACTAAGATATAGTATAGACGGTATCTCATAAGTTTGATAATTTTCCTATTCCACTGACATGTTGTTATTTTTTTTTATTTCATTAATATATTTTATTGAATCTTCCCCTGTCGTTTGTGTATGAGGTTTAAGGCATAGACATTGATTTATGTATTTTGTTTTGTATTTAGTTTCGGTTTATTTTGTACTAACTTTTGCCCGCAACTTCGTTTGCGTGGTATTAGTATCCATTTATAGGTTTTTTTACCAACTTCATAAAATAAGAATATGTTGTCAACTTTTCTGTTTTCTTTTATCTATATCAGTGATTCTCAACAACTGTGCCGCGGCACTTTTGTATGCCGCTAAATTTCAAAAGTGTGCCACCAAATTTTGCAAATATATAATAATCTTAAAATTATTAAATTCTATCATTTAAAAAGAAAAATATTTTTACATGAATATATATTTAAATCCACAAAAAAAAATTTGCTTTGCAACGCGTTTTTTCTTAGTGCCAAATTATGATGAAGCGGCGTGCATAGCAATAGGAAAATGTCTCAACTTGGACAACACTTGCCACTTCTGCGTACAAAACGTGTTGTTTTAGTGATAGTTGGGATTCACAAGGTGTTGCATAGTAGTTACTGCACCTTTTCTTTCGTTAAAATTGGCAAATGAATGTGATTCGGTTTAATATTAATTTATTTGCATGTAGTGTCAATTTATAAATTTGTAAACCAAAAAAGGTTTACACATATTATTACAATTTTCCACATCTTATTTGTGTGAATTCGGATTTTCAGCATTAGCCAACATTAAAACTAAAAAAATATCAAGATTGTTAAATGTAGAAGACGATATGAGAGTAGTATTGTCATTCTTAGAGACCAAATATAAATGAAATTATCAAAAAACATCAAGCTCAAATTTCGCATTAAAAATATTTTTATTATTAGCTTGTAATTAATCCCTTAATAAACGTTTAGTTATTATTGTAGTATATATTCGTTTATTTCGTATATTTAAAATGTTTGTCATAAACTATTTATGCAGTGTAGTAAGTAAATAATTTTTATCTTTTTCTTTGTGTGCCGCCAAATTTTGAAATCGTTAAATATGTGCCGCAACAAAAAAAAAAGGTTGAGAGCCACTGATCTATATTATACTTTTTTGTTTGAAAGAGTATATTCTCGAAATAACAATATTTTATTATAAAATAACTGGGAGAACTATATCGCACAAATTAACTTGATGTGGTGGTTGTCACATGGGAACTCTATAGTAAAGGTGTTTATTTTCATAAATAAACAGACATCAACATCGTTAAACAATTCTTATTATGACAAATTCAAACTTCGTTTGAAGTCCGATGTGTAACTTAGCTATCAAATCTTCGCCCGAATAAAAATTGAGTATATCGAATTTATAAGAATAAAAGTTATTGTTCGATTCCTTTGAAGTCGTTTTTTCTCCAAGTTTACATTTAAAAAAAAAATAACAACTAATCTTTGGTTTTAATAATAATTACTAACACTATTTTTTTACTTGAAATAAATTAGTATTCACGTGATTTGTAATAACGGGCACTGACCAAGATATTACAATATTCAAAATATAATAATTGGAATAAATTTTCATCTTTATCGAAAGTTCGAATATTTTTAAAAACATTTCTTTTGGCTGTTTGGGTAAATTGCCTGAACATTGACGAAAATACGTTCTGTAGTAGCGACAAAGTAATAAGTGCTTGAAAAATTCGATAGTCCTGTTAGGTCCTGGGTAGCTCAGAGTTTAGAGCAATCCCCTGGATTGTGAAAGTGGATATTTTAAGCATTTTTCATTAAGAAGTATTTTATTTTTGTGAAAAAATCTTAGCACGTACTTATACGCCGTCATGGCCATTTTTTTATAGATAATTTAAAGCTCTTCCATTTTTCTTTAATAAGTATTCATATATGTCTTCCTATTTAGGCAGCGTTCACAAAAATAGGCGCCCTTGGAAGTACTTCTATCCCTAGGGAACCATTTAGTGGGATTAAAGTAGCATTTATGTTAATCCACACTTTTAGTGGCCTAAATACCAAATTTCATCAAAATTAGTTCAGTAGTTTTTGCGTCAAGAAGTAACAAAAATATAATTATTAAAATATCCTACCTACTTACGCCTTTATAATATTAGTAGGATAATATAATTACAGGTAGTTTTTAGTTTGGAAAAATCTTTTTATTTTCTTACTTTACTATTTTGGTATAAATAAATCTATAATATGTGCAATCAACAGCATGTCAGGCAGCACAAAATTGATAAAATTCTCCAGCCGATTTACAAACTTAATGCATTGGAGGTAGATCTCAGAATCAATTGAGGAAATTTGGCATATGGTGGTAGCCTGTGATACAGCCGTGTGTATAAGTATTTAGAGAAAGTAGTTCAAAACATCACCGGCCTATTAATATCCCCTAATGGCCTTCTCTATTGATGAAATCGAATGAGATGAGGGAGAATGTTCTATGACCTAACACTTGGGTCCAGTGAGGATTGGTGGGTATTAACAACCGCAGATGCAGCTGGGACGTTATCTACCAGTAGACCAATATTCTATAATAATTGTTAATCAGCCATTATAAAATGTCGACAATATTTTTGCGGGGATAAGTAAAACAGTTTGTTATCAATATAAGTTTATATTCTTTTGGAAGCCGATCTGTATGACCCTGGGATTAATTCATTTGCCAACATTTTCCTTGGTTGCAATGCTTTGATAGGCGGCGGTGCAATCACTATATTGAAGTAGTTGCCCATTCTTGAGACTTCGGAAGGTCTCTTAAAGTCTTCTACGTGGTTAGGAGGAGGCTCATTCTCGATGAAGTCCATCAGTTGCTCATCTCGTTTGCTGTGGCCTCGCGCTGATCTGCCAGCGTATTTCAACGGTAAAGGCTTTTCGAACCTTTTGTTAGGCACTGGTATACCCATTTGAGTCCTAGAAAAGAAATTGTGAAAAATGAGACGTTTGTGTAATTTACTGTATCAATGAAAAATATTTTAAATTCTTTCAAGTTACAAAAAATAATAAACAAAATTATTTATACACTTATAAATAAGTTATTCTTTAAAATAAATTATTCTATGTTTAGGTAAATAATAAAAAATAAATACTAGAGGAATTTTGTGTTGTAACAGTTTATCTTAGTTATTATCTGATATATTCTTTTATGTTTTATTTTTATTATTTGGTATCAATGATTTTTTACCCCAGTAACTTTTTTATATGGTAACGTATGAGGCATTATACCTTAAACTAGGGTTCAACAAGCCCTCTGTCTGTTGAACAAGAATGATTGGCCTACCTACCTCTGGTAAAATCCGGGGGGGGGGGGGGGGGGGGGGGGTTGGTAAAAGATCCGCGATCAAGCAAAGAGCTTGTTGTCTAGCAATCTAGATATGCATAGAGATTGCTAATAGCTTAGATATGGATACTCTAGCAACCTAGACCAATATTGATATTTCTAATAACTGTTTGATAAAAACAAGACTTTAAGGTAATACTGACGGCGAGCAGTCCTGTGGCAGTACACACTGATGTGTCCTGTCGTCCCGTACATATGGCTCTTCACAAATGCACCCTGCCTCGCAGTAAGGATAGCAGGGCCTTAAATGGTTTCGCGGGTTGTCGCACGACACCTCTGCGCAGCCGCCGAAGCAAGGCTCGAATACTTCATTCGCCCAGTAACATGCTGTAATTGACAAAAAAATTGTAAAAAATACATATTTAATCATAAATCATTTTATCATCAGGGGTTAAGGCATCTCTAATAGATTGGTTAAGGAGGATGGGCCGTGACCCTCCACCCTGGCCCTATGCGGATAGGAGGGTATTATTGACTATAAATGCAGCCGGGACCAACGGCTTAATGTGCCCTCCGAAACACGGAGTAGCTCGACATAATAAGTTTGGATCACCCATCCCGTGACCGACAACGAACGCAACGAAAGTTGCTTGACAGCAACGAACGCTAGCCGCGGCGCTTATCCACTACGCCACCGAGCATTTTATAGTTTATGAATAATACAACCATATTGTATATAAATTTCTAAATTTTTCTGTAATGGCGGCGCTAAAGTCAGTTAATATTTATCAGTATACTTCGTGGTTAAGTCGATAATACGCCGATCGAGGTGTAGCCATTTTTTGTGTACTCCGGCTAAATTTCCGGTCGGGTCAATGTGGAACGAACTTTTCTTTATTGTCTCGGATTTAGGAGTCGCATTTCAGTTTTTCTAATACAACTAACATTAAAACTTCTACCTCGTTTGGTGTCTGAGCAATCTAGCTATGCGATGTTATTTAAGATTGATTTATAGTGAACGGGAAGCCCTTGATTCCGCAATAGAACTACAGCTCTATTAGGCTACAGCAATTTACTTTCAATTTTTAATTATATAGTATAGTAAGATAGTAACCTTAAAAAGTTCTGTAAATAGAAGAGATTAACTTAAAGTATCATTTAATAAAAGTGATAAAGCTTGCCAAGCTATAAATTAAGGAATACTTAGTAGCGGCCGGCGTGTTCTAAATCTAGTTGTGGACAGTAGTCTCCGAATTCGTTGCTAAAAATTTCCACAGCTCCATTATATAAGTCCCAGTGGAGTACTAGCCAGTCTTACAATGCTTCCATGAAAGATATACCTCGAACCCGCCACAGATAGAACCGCCTCGGGAGGGTTCACGTTAGCACACTTTAAAACATTAGTTCACTCACTTACATTTCATTATTTTCTCTTCGTCTCTACACATTACAAATCGCAAGCAATAGTTCATCATATAAAGGCTTAAAATCGAGACTTTCATGATTGCACGACCAATTCGCCAAAACACGTTTATACGAATGATTAAAAAAACGTTCAATTTTGTGCTTTGTTTTGCGGTGTAAAGAGTTTATTTCTCGTTTTGTAAGAGTTCATTATGATTAATATATCGTTAGGATAAGGTCGTCAATGGTACGTGATAAAGGCGTCCTGTTTAGTAAACACGGCGAGAGCCAGCTAAGCCGTGTTTGATTGAATTATTGCTCGCCATAATTTCGTATGAGCCTTGAGGTCACGTTCCCCAATATTATGGATATTATGATACATTTCGGCAGACAAATCCTCTTGAGATAATTTTGAGCAGGTACACGCGACAACATGGATGCTATATTGTAATTTATAACTGTGGTGTATTTAAGCTTGTGATTTATACTATAAATTATTTTCCAACGTCGGTATTAGAATTCCATTATAACAGGATCAAAGGTGAATTCAAAAATACATTTGATAAGCTGCTTGTTAATTTTTTATACATTTTAAAACAATACATGTTTTAATTGGTTTTCAATAAAAAAAAGAAAACGTTTAAATAAGCTGTTATTCCAAGAAAAAACCATATACCGGCAATATTTCATGTAAAACGTTGTTAAATGACACCATATGGCTCGCACAGACAAAATGTTTTTAGATGTAATGTAGTGCCAAGCTTCTCACAGGACATTTTAAAAGGTTTCCTTTTAATTTTGTAATGTTTTTGACTTTTGTATACTTTATTTATTCTTACATAACATACATAAATTTAGAAAAACCCATATAAAATATTTTTGTATTCAGTTTCGCTTTATATGTTACTAATTAGTATAGACATCATTCGGATGTGGCAAATGTTGTCTAATAAACTCCCACCCTACGGGTGGCGCTCGATCACCGGCTCTTGTCATGTAACAAGTGTTCTATATAGCCTTGGAATAAACATCTCACTAACTCTATTTCTTTTGGTGCGATACGAAACAAATAGTCGTGTTTCCTGGACTGTATTTTGCTACAATACACAACGTTATAACAGTAAATATTATTCAGTCTTTCATTGATAAAGTTGAAATCAAACATTATGACTTTGTACTAAAATATTTGAAGTAATATCATTTCATTTTAAATTAATTTTTCCGAAAAAAAATCCTGACAAAAAAGGGACAAAGATTTTGTTAAGTATGTTGCTTCCTCCTCATCAGCAGCTGTTTTACGTCCACATTGCAGGGGCTCAAGCTTTCTTTTGAAGGACGGGCTATTACCCTCCACGCTGAGGGCGGGGGATATGTCAGGTTGTGTTTGTATTCAGTATAAGTACCAAACTAACATATCACCTATTTTACCATTCTGTCCCGTCTGGTAATCTGGCAAATGGTCTGGGGGGAGAGTGCAGGTCATGTTGATCCCCTAGGCAAGTCTGATTGTCTCCTTCACGCGGTGGCCGCCTGTTATTGGTCTGATTCCCTAAGAAACAGATATAACTAAAACAATCAGGCGCACCCCTATCCACATCCTCACTAATCCTATCCTATCCTCATCCTTACTTCCCACCACAATCCCTAAAGTTGTCGCACCCCAATTAGGCAGCTTTCTAGTCCACTTGGTTCAGGGAGGCGGCCAAGTGGTTTGTGAGCCTCTCCTGCGGTATGACCTGCGCAGCAGAGCCGTACGCGGGGATGAAGGGATCCTGGTGTTTGAGCGGAAAGGGTAGCTGCGGCACCCCGGATGCAACACAGCACTTTGGCCCGGATTTCCAGCTAGACGGCAACCACGTGGTCCAGCCAGCTACGTGGTAACGGTCTTGGCGTCTACCGTCTATGGGTCGCCGGCGAGGAACGTGGGGGTCACTTAACATCACAGTGATGGACTCCGGCCATGCTGAAGGAGCAAGGTTGTTGGGAACCAATGATGGTTGGGATCGACTATCATCCCTTCGACTGCAGCCCCTGATGTCGCGCAAGGAGGAAAACCCTGCGTTCCTATATCCTCGTCACAATCCTGATGACCGATTATTGATATCGGCATCCCAATTGTGGCTCCGTGGCGGGTGGGACTGACGAGGATGAAGTAACAAGATTATGTGGACATGGAAACTCATAGATCCCATAAGAAAGACCTGGTGAAGGGTAAAACCGGCGACAGGCAAACTGACATTAAAGACAAACCAACGACAACATGTACATCGAGAGACCTGGTGAAGGGGAAACCTGGTGTCAGGCCGATGCACAAAGACCATGACAGAGACAATGACAGACCAACTTCATCCCGTGTCTTGACAGACCTGGTGAAGGAGCAATCCGGCGACAGGCAACAAGCGCGAGATGATGACCTTGATTCCTGGCAGCAAGTCACCCACCGACGTAGAAATCGGCAGGGTGGAGATAGGAATCAGGACCAAACCACTGACACGACAGGACGCAGAAGGACCAAACTGGGACAAAGAGCTAGGAAGGCCCGTAACAGACAAAGAGCTGAGGAAGCCAGTAAGACGACTGTTACGGGTCAAGAGGCTAACACCCGGGACAGACAGACTTCTGAGGGGACAATACTACCGGCTTCAAAGAGGCCCAGACTGGACGACACGGTCTCTCCAAGGGGTGACCATAAGAAACCTAAATCGGGGGAACCGCGTCGAACACCGGCAAAAATATCATTCGCCGATGCGGCCACAGCTGACCTACTGGTGGTAATCACCAGCCAAAAAACAGGACACCTGACAATAGCCCAGGCAACACAAGTGCTAGCAGCCCTGGAGGAAGCCGTCATAATGGAGACGCTAGAGGCGGGGCCATCGACTGATGAGGGACCGAACCTGAAAGGGAAACCGACAATCGGGGACGGGGTGCTCAGTCTTTGGTGTGAGACACCCAAAACTCTTCAGTGGGTAAAAAAGACTGTGGCAGCCATGAAAATCCCGGGGCTGGATGACCTGACAGTGCAAAGGCAAATAGACAGACCAAAGAGGGTGGTATGTGGACTACTTGTGCCTGGCACAAGGGCTCCACATATGACAGCTAAACTATTGAGGCATCAAAATAAGTTTGCTGACGTGGATAGATGGATCCTGCATAAGGCCATCGCTGGAGAGGACAACACCTTCCTCATATTCAGCACCACTAGAGACGTGGCAGAAAAAATTCTGGCAAGAGGGAGGCGACTTTGCTACCTGATGGGCTCGGTTTACGTCCGATTCCGGCATCAGGATGGCAAGTATCTGGACAGCCTGCCACCTCTGGAGGACCAAACCTCAGCCCCGACACCCAGTACAGAAGCCGGACCATCAACGGCAGCTACACAAGAGGCCATGGACATTCAAAAACCGGAGACCTCGACTTCTGCGAAAGGGAGTCGTAACGAAAAGGACGTGATTGACGAATGGGCGGACAGACTCGGTGGTATCGACATCAGCCAGGAGGTGGATGTCGACGTTTTGCTTGCGTCTGATGGCGCTACCACCGACTAATACAACATTTTTGCAGACAAACCTCCAGCACAGTCGCGCAGCAACGGCTCAACTAAAGAAGTGGCTGGAGGACAACGACAAAACTGAGGCTATAGCTCTGGTCCAAGAGCCGTGGATCAGATCCAATAACATCTGTGGCCTCAGCACTACGAGTGGTAAGACTTTTTACAACTCAGGTAACCGAGCACCGCGGACCTGCATTGTTTGCTCCAAACACATGCAAGCCCAAATAATGTCAAATTTCTGTTCTAGCGACCTAACTACAATAACAATTAAACAGCAGCAAAATCCAAGTGTACCTATCCTGGTGATTGCCTCTGCCTACATGCCGGAGGGAGAGGAAGCACCGCCAAGAGAACTGGTTGAACTGGTACGACACTGTGAACAAACGAACAAGGCGCTGATCATCGGCACTGACTCCAACGCGCACCACCAATTGTGGGGAATGACCAAAAGCAACAAACGAGGTGAGGAACTGGTTGATTATTTATTCACAACTAATCTTAACCTGATCAACAAAGGCTCAAAGCCTACTTTTGTCACGAGAAGAGCTAGAAGCATAATTGATCTTACGTTAGCGACTAAAGAGGCGGCTGACTTGATTTCCGACTGGCAGGTCTCGTCAGAGGCCTCATGTTCTGACCACATGTGGCTCAGGTTCAACATGACAACACAAAACATGACAGTTGAACCGAGACGCTTACCAAGGAACACTAACAAAAGAGAATATCAGAAACAGGTAATACCGTTACTAGACTGTATACAAGACAAGAGCTGGCGGGATATTAACAAAATCGACGAGGCAGCTAAGGAAATAAGTGAGGTAATTAAAACAGCCTATTACAACAATTGCCCGCTCAAACAACTATCATCAGACTCAACCCACAGCTCAACTTGGTGGGGTCCTGAACTGCAGCGACTAAGGACAAAGGTGAGAAGACTATTTAACAGAGCAATGAACACATATGATGACCGGAACTGGGATGCATACAGAGATGCAAAATTGCTCTATAAAAAGCGTATACGACATTGGAAGCAAAGATCCTGGAGGAATTTTTGCTCCGAAATTGATTCGTGCACGAAAGCCAACAAGGTCAGGAAACTATTATCTAAGGACAAACAACAGGACATTGGACAACTACGCAGAACAGACGGCTCACTCACTGACACACATGAGGAGGCGTATAAGGTTCTACTAGAAACTCATTTTCCGGGCTGCGTGTTGCAAACCACGCAGAACTGGGAGGACACAAACTGCACCCCTACTGAACAATCCTGGACCACCGCACAAAGGACGGTGTCTACGGATAAGGTAAAATGGGCAATAGACAGCTTTAAACCATATAAGGCAGCTGGACCGGATGAAATCTTTCCAGCGCTTCTACAATGGGCCAATAAAGCAGTGACAAGAATACTGGTGCCTCTTCTGCGGGCCTGTTTAGCACACAGATATACCCCAAAGCTATGGAGAGAGGTCACGGTGATATTCATCCCAAGACCAGGTAAATCTGACTACAATGATGCAAAATCGTATAGACCTATCAGCCTCTCATCTTTCTTTCTAAAAACTCTAGAGAGATTATGTGATAGAGAGCTTAGAGACAACCAGCTTAAGAACGTACCGTTGCATCCTAACCAGCATGCATATACATCTGGCAAATCGACAGAATCCGCACTTCACTCCGTAGTAAGTACGATAGAGGGAAGTCTCAAAAGGAAAGAAATATGTCTAGGCACTTTCATAGATATTGAAGGAGCTTTTGACAAAACCAGTTTTGATAGCATAGCGAAAGCCCTAGCTGCTCATGGAGTAGAGGACACCATCACACAATGGGTAAGCAACATGCTGCGAAACAGGCTAATAACACTGCAAGGCGACAACAAGATCAAAGCAATAGCGACTAAAGGTTGCCCACAGGGGGGAGTACTATCGCCACTTCTGTGGAATGTGGTGGTCAACGAATTGATCGCCAACTTAAACAACCGTCGATTCCAAACGATAGGATATGCAGATGACTTAGTAATAACAATCTCGGGCAAATTTGCGAACACACTGTGCGACGTCACAAGAACTGCACTGAAAGTTGTGGAAAAGTGGTGCAACGACTATGGACTAAAGGTAAACCCTGCAAAAACAGAAATGGTAATGTTTACTAACAAAAGGGTACTAGGCGAATACAAACTTCCAAAATTATTTGGCACGACATTGAATCTCTCCAACGAAGTAAAGTATCTAGGTGTCACACTGGATGCCAAACTGAACTGGAGTACACAAATAGACAAATCCATCACAAAAGCCAACATCATCTTCTGGCAATGCCGCAGGATGATCGGTAAGAAATGGGGACTAACTCCACATATTACTAAATGGCTATATGAGACAATTATTAGACCCATCATAAGCTACGGCGCAATTGTCTGGTGGACAAAGACTACACAGGCAACAACTATAAACAAACTTAAATGTCTCCAAAGACGTGCCTGCTGTGCAATCACTGGATGCATGAGAACAACCCCAACAGCAGCGCTAGAGACGATACTCAACGTAAGACCACTACATCTCTTTATACAACAAGAAGCCATGTGTGCAGCCACACGGCTAAAAATGCTGGGACTATGGAGGGATATTAGTATCCCGCACACTAACATCTTAAAAGACATTAATAAGGAATACCCCTTCTTCATGGCCACCAATGACTTAACTCCCAGGAGGTATGTTTTTGACAAGAAATACAAAATACAACTCTACGAAGACACACCAGATCTCTGCCTTCACAAAGAGCTGAGGATCTTTACGGACGGCTCTAAAACTGACATAGGTACTGGTGCTGGTGTTTTCTCGGAGGATCTAAATATCCACATATCCACGGCACTGGGAATCTACAACACAATATTCCAGGCTGAATGCGTGGGTATATTAATGGCTGCTGAGGCA